CAAAAAGCATTTGATTCAGTTGAATGGACTTTCTTGTTTCAAACTCTTAAAAGGTTCAACTTTGGAGAGAATTTCCTTCGATGGATCAAAATCTTACACACTAATCCTTATTTTCATGTTAAAAATAATAACTGGTTAACTAGAAAATGTACAATGTCAAGAGGCATTAGACAAGGGTGTCCCGTCTCAGCATTGCTTTTTCTTTTTGTTATTGAAATCCTTGTGTTAAAAATAAATGCTTTCGAAAATATACAAGGTTTCAAAATCGGACAATCAAGTGAAATAAAATGTTTACAACATGCAGATGACTGCACATTACCAATGAAAAATCAGGAATCCTTAAAAGAATCTATTAAAGTAATAAAATCTTTTGGGGAAATGTCTGGTACTAAGTTAAATTTAGAAAAAAAACAGAGGGTATTCTCTTAGGACCGCTTAAAAACACACGGGAAGAGGTAGAAGGAATTAAAATGACAAATAAACCTATTAATTAAATCGTTGGAAATTTTCTTAGGACACGACAAAATATCTAATAATGAAAGAAATTGGTTAAACAAGCTTAAGGAATTTGAAAAAATATTAGATTCATGGAGAACAAGAAGTTTAACTTTTTTTCGGAAAATGTACCGAAATCAATTCACTTATAGTATCTAAATTAGTATATGTATTCACAGTTCTTGAAAATCCAGATGTTGAGTACATTAAAAATTTAAATAAAATTATTTACAATTTTTTTGGAATAAGAGAGAGCGAATTAAGCGGAATTCACTTATAAGACCAGTAAATGAAGGCGGTCTTGGTCTAATTGATATAGAATGCAAACTTTAAAAAAGCGTAAAAACGGGATGGATCAAAAGACTATATAATAAAAATTCCTCACTTAGAATTTACCTAGAAAACGCTTTAAAATCTTATGGAATAAACTTTGAATATCTGTTACGCAGCAATATAAAATATCCGACTGATTTCAATATTTGTCCCCCGCTTTCGCGAAAGCGAGGGGACATTAAATCTCATTCGTCTGTCCGTCAGTCTGTCAGTCTGTCAGTCTGTCCGTCACAAAAACTTTAACCTTGCCCATAACTTTTGATTAAGTGGGGCTATGACTTTCATATTTCACATGTGTATTCCTTTTGACAAGACCTTTCTTTGGGTACCACCAAATTTGACCTTTTGACCTTGACCTTGGAGTTTGACCCACTTTTAAACAAAAATTTCAAACTTTTACTTTGGTCATAACTTTTGAATAGTAGGTACTAGGACTTTCATATTTCACATATGTATTGTTTGTGGCAAGACCTTTCATTGGATAACAACAACCTTGACCTTTTGACCTTGACCTTGGAGATTTACGTACTTATGAAAAAACTTTAACCTTGACCATAACTTTTGATTAAGTGGAGCTATGACTTTTATATTTCACATGTGTATTCCTTGTGACAAGACCTTTCTTTGGGTACCACCAAATTTGACCTTTTGACCTTGACCTTGGAGTTTGACCCACTTTTAAACAAAAATTTCAAACTTTTACTTTGGCCATAACTTTTGAATAGCAGGTACTAGGACTTTCATATTTCACATATGTATTGTTTGTGGCAAGACCTTTCATTGGATAACAACAACCTTGACCTTTTGACCTTGACCTTGGTGATTTACGTACTCATGAAAAAACTTTAACCTTGACCATAACTTTTAAAATTGTGAGGACTAAGGCTTTTGTACTTCACATATGTAATCCTTTTGAGAAGACCTTTCATTGGATACCAACAACTTTTACCCTTTGACCTTGACATTGGAGTTTTGACTACTTTTAAAAATACTTTAACTTTGGTCACAACTTTTTAACGGTAGATACTAGGACTTTTATATTTCATATATGTATTCTTTGTGGCAAGTCCTTTCATTGGATATCAACAACATTGACCTTTTGACCTTGGCCTAAAAGATTTATGTACTTATGAAAAAACTTTAACCTTGACCATATTTTTTGAACAGTAAGGGCTAGGGCTTTCATACTTCACATATGTAATCCTTGTGAGAAAACCTTTCATTGGATATCAACAACTTTGACCCTTTGATCTTCACCTTGGAGTTGACCTACTTTTAAAAAAAACTTTTTACTTAGGTCATAACTTGTTAACGGTCAGGATTAGGGTTTTCATCCTTCAAAAAAAATCAACTTCAATGTTACTTTCTAAATAAATGACATATGATAGGATGTTCATAGTTCACACAATATGTCATAAAAAGTAACATCTCACCCACAAAGACACCGAAAGCGGGGGACCACAATTCTTTGAATTTGCTTGTTTAAATAAATTCCCAAATTTTTATAAAGAAATCTTCTGTAGTTTTAACGAGTGTAAAATGTTAACATCACCACGAAATAAAATAACAGAAAACCTATGGTTCAATTGTTTCATTACACAAAATAACAAACCATTATACTTATAAAATTGGGCAAGAAGTGGTATTTTATATGTAAAAGTCAACGGGACTCAAAATCAGTTCGCTATATCCGTAAATTCGTTATATCAGAGTTCGTTATAACCGTAAAGTTTTACAAAGATTTGTTAAGAACTTTGCCGGGGACCTAGAAAAACTTCGTTATATCCGTGAATTCGCTATATCCGTGTTCGTACTAAACGAGTTTTACTGTAAATGTTCAGTCAAGACTCTTTCGTTACAGACCTCACTAAGATATTGAGATAATGAACAGTATTCCACATTAATAAACAAAAAAACGGGAGCAAATTCTTATTCTTTCAATGAAAAATATGGCGATAACGAACAGAATTCAATCTCAAAGTCCATCAAACAATACAAAACAAGAGCAGAGCAAACACGGACCTCAGAGACATCAGAGGTGGGATCAGGTGCCATGCAGGAGTGAGCAATCCCTGCTGACCGGTCACACCCGCCGTATGCTCATTGTCGTGATCGTGAAATAACGGAAAAATCCGTCGTCAATCCAGTGTATAAATAATGGACTAACAATTGGTATGAAAAACGTCAGTCAGCATTTGACTCAATGATAGATTGTATTTGCTGACAAGCTTAAGGTCATTGTATCATAGAACGTACGAAATGATGACTTTAAACAAGATATCTATATTCTTGTTTCATCACCTTGTTTGCTAATAGATAACCTCGTTTTAGAAATTGTTCATACGTAGAGCATGCTCTTGCGTATCGAATCAACTGAGATATATACACTCCGTATGCAGGTGATGAAGGTATATTGCTGCATAAGTAAGGGAAGTTGACGATAGAAAAGTTAATGTCGTCACGTTTATCATATAACTTGGTTGTTAGGTTACCACTAACATCTTTTTCAAGTAAAATATCCAAGTATGAAACAGATGTGTCAGACTCTGTGGTATCTTTTTTATCTCAAGCTCTCATGGATATATCGTATCGACGTAGGAATGGAAATTACCATTGTTAATTGATAATACGTCGTCGATATATCTGAAGGTCGCGTTGAAGGCCACAGCAAGTGTTTTCTTCTTTTCACGCATAAGATTTTGCATAAATTCTTCATATGAATACAAAAATAGGTCTGCTAATAACGGAGCGCAATTGGTTCCCATGGGAATTCCAATATATTGTTGGATTGATTGATTGATTGTATACTCATTTGAAAGATTTTCTAATTCTGCACAAATTTTGTTCTATATCTTTTAACAAAATTTTTTTAGTTTAGAAGATAAAAGCTAAATATGTGTAAATTTTTCCTCTTTTGGGCGTTCTAATTTTTGACCCCTAAATACCACCATTTTGAATAGAGAAAAACAAAAACCGCTATGCACAACTTCAATCCTCCTATTGTGTAAAATCAGTAAAATTTCTGCTCCAGCTTTTGCCATCTCCGAGCCTTTGTCTGGAAATGAAAGCCTATAAATTTTCGTTTAAAGGGAAATAACTCAAAACCGGAAGTGAATTTTTTGAATGCTAGACAAAATTCTGATATAAACTCTGTAAATTTGAGGAAAATCCATTGAGAAATGAGTGAAATATGAGGCCTCAAAGTTGACGTCTAGGAAAATGAAAAAAAAGAATATGTAATACGTTGGAAACGGAAGACCGTTAAAAAAAGTAAACTCCTTCTCTAAAGTAAAAATGTTTTAGGGGGGATTTCCCTACAAATGGATGAATCTTCCTATCAGCTTATTTTTTATCGGGGTTCCACGTTTCTTTGAGGAATCCAATATCATTTTTAGTTATAAAGTACAATAAATATTTTTAATATTAAATTCCATTCTATAACAATGGTAACCAATCGGCCATTTCCGTAAACGATAAATATTAATATATATCTTTCAGAAAATGGCCGAGTAGTTACGATTGATTCAAAAACTGGATATAAAGGGAAAGTAGATCTAAAGGGATCTTCATTTTCTATTTATAGTACCTGGTAATTTTCATATCTTGCCTGTAAGAATGGATAACTTGAGAACTTCATCAATGTGAGTTTTAATTAATATTTGTGTGTTACTTCAATATCGTACTCACTTTAACTTTATATGCACGTAGCACATCTTTTCTATTCTTCTCTATTTCGTTCTTTGTAAATTTAATACTATGTTGAGAACAATTAATTGTGATGGTACAGATACAATATTTTTAGAAGACTAAATTTTCATTGAAAAGAAAAGGCAATTTTTTAAGGCTGGGAGTGAAATCTAAATTAACCAATAAAAATAAACTTATGAACAGTATGTAAGCATTGAATGATTAACTTAACAGGTCCAGCACAATACCCTAATAAAGGTATATAGCTTGATAAAGCCATATAGCTTTTTCAAGGTATTACAAATACCTTGATCATGGTATTTTTTGTATTGAAAAGGTATTTTTGATCAAGGTATTTTTTGAAAATTAAATTAAAAAATTCTTTAAAAATAAATCAAGCTATTTACCTTTATCAGGGTATCGTGCTGGACCTGCTAAATGGCATATATCATTTTTAGATTTCCCTTTAATATCATTAGAAAGACGGCCCTAGATCATATGTCTGAGTCAGTGTTCATGGGACTGTGTAAAAAACTTGGGACTTCATATCAATTGGCCATGAGGAGAGATGTGTTGGACATGAGTGAGAATTTGATAGAAAAAGTTGGGGGCAGTGCGATGTGGAGTGGAAGTTACAAAGAAGGATTCAGACTAATTGAATCAGATCTTGACTCTATGTACTGGCAAAATAATCACCATGTGATATGGGAATTATCTCAATCTCAGTATTACAACATACACATACAAACACTGATCCTCTGTGACTGCTCTGATAGTCCACCAGGATTTACTTTGTTATATTTACTGTCACCAAGCATGGACAAAGACATCCAGAGATCTTGTGTTAGAATGAATAACAGGCTTTATATCTCCAGTTCAAAATACAGAAAGATTATGTGTTCTGCAGTTTTCCCAAACTCAATTCTTCATGGACCATGTGCCACTGGAGTTCTTCCAGGAAGGACAGAGTATGATTTTGCCCACTGTTTTGTTAGTGACCTCTGGCCTCCATCTGCCTCCTCATGGATAGACAGATGTAACTCCTGGCCCCAGCCTCATGTTGTTGATGATATAGTTAAAAACGGATGTCACTTTGTAGCAATTGGACATAAGTTAGGACGTCTTGAAGACCATGAATGGAGAATTTCTTTCTCTTTTGCAGAACATAAACTTGTGTGTGCTATGCATCATTGTCAATTCATAACTTATGGCTTGCTTAAATTGTTCTTAACAGAAATAATTAACAATGGTATAAGTGATGATGATAAATTACTGTGTTCCTATCACATGAAGACAGCAGTTTTCTGGGTGATACAACAAAATACATTACAACAATGGTGTCCACAAACTCTCCTGGAGTGTTTCTGGATCTGTTTTAAGCAAGTCCTTAAGTGGGTGTATGAGGGAGTATGTCCCAATTTTTTCATTCCCCAAAACAACATGTTTCTTGGTAAAGTACATGGTAAAGCTCAGCATCAGCTATTTATAAGACTGTATGGATTGTACAAGAAGGGTTTAGTATTCCTACTAAACAGTCCCTCTATTAGGTCTTGTATCATAAATGTCCTATATAACCCCAGACTCTCCATCTGTACAGATGAACATACTCTGATTTCTGAGACTGATTTTGATATATATTTATTCCTGGAGATATACAAATATGAAGATCCTGGCACATCAAACCTAGAAACCTGTATGAGACACCTACATACGATAGAACAGATGATATGCTTACCCCTCCTAACACAGTATCAAGTCGTGATGCTACAGAAACGTACAGCTTGTGTCCTACAGAAAACAATTTTTGTGTTATTCATGGAAACTTACACACAGGAAAACAAACTGAGGTATAGAGCTGACAAAATCTCCCTCTACATGCTGAAATTAGCAGCCAAGTTTGGTTGTATTACTGACATGCTGTATATAGCCATGTATTATTACAAGACACTTAGATACACGGAAGCTTTATCTATCATAGAGATGACCAAGGTCAAGTTATCACAGCCATATGTGATGTATTGGTATAATGTAGAAACAGAGATTTATACTGAGGCTGTTGGGGGACAATCCTGGTCTGCAAAGATGAGACAGGCTGTAGCATGGGATATCACACTTGACAATGAAGTCCATTACATCAGTGAATTGATACCAGAACAACGGTCAGCTCTACAGATCAAGATGGGGTCTTCATTACTTATCCCACCATTTGTACTGTTATACATGCTAGAGATCTTGTGCTACAGACATGTAGACACAACAACGAGAGTACAAACAGCTCTAGATGATCTACAGACCCTAGTTCACTATGATCAGGGACAGCTTATACCTTTACCACACAGAGACATATCGTGGCAAATTCTTGGGATCTGTCAACAGTTGACAGGGAACCTCCAGGCTGCTCTATACTCATACCAACAATCTCTCAGACAAGAACCATACCGCAAGATACACGCAGCCACAGAAATGAGAATTCAACAAGTTTGTCACAGATTACCAAATTAGAAGCCCATGTTTTACATTTATAATTTGAATATTTCTTCTCATTCTATCATATTATAAGTACCATTTCACTGATTTAAAAAACAGGTGACAGGGAACCTCCAGGCTGCTCTTTACTCAAACATTCACTTTACCAGACGTCAAATAACAAAAGACAAACTGCCACAATTACTGTGAAATCATTATTGTTCACGGGGGACCAATGTACGTGGCTTTCGTGGGTAACCCTGATCCACGAATTAACATCCCCACGAACGTATATACAAACATTTGTTTTATCATTCATAAAGTTAAATTACGAAATATAACTTGTTATCAACGAAATTACGTCCCCACGAACCAGAAATTTTTTGGCTACCCACGAACATTGACCCCCACGAAAAAAAATGATTCCACAGTAACAGAATTATAAAAATATCTATAGACTCCTGAATGTCTTTTAGTTACAAAGAGTCACACGAAGATATCCTGTAAAAAGCGCCAAACACAATCATTTAATGGTATAGGATGCACTTAAACTAGTCAGAGTTTTACAGTAACGAAATAAAAGCACACCTTTGGGTAATGTGCATCCACTGTTACATGAAACATCAATTCTCAAATATTTAAAATTCTGAATGAAAATCTGAATTTGTTTTCTATTTATCAGTTGTTCTTTGTGAAAATTATAAATTTTGTTCATCAAAACACAGACAGAAGTGTTTTACAAATTCGGTTTCTTTTTTCATTCAGTAGTTCTGTAAATAACATAAAATTTAAATAGGTCTCCCTTATTTAAATCAAGTCTCTCTTTAATTATTTTAATGAATTTAATGTTTGAAATAAGAAGCATACAAAACAGAAAGAATAACACTTTTGATATTTTCATCATTTTCATAATTCAAAGATAAATAAATTTAAGTTTATGGGTCTGAACTTACCCTAGTTCGGTCAAGTCAGCGGCGTTGACAGACCCATTTTCATGATTTTTCTGTTAACTCTAAGTGGTTATTACTGTAAATTTGGATTATCTCCCTTTACAAAATTGGTTTATTTCTCATCTTGAAACTCATCTAAATATTTTGTGTCTGCATAAAATTATATGTCATTGTTAATAATACTTTTGAGAATTTCAAACAAGTTATTAAACGTCACAAAGGTGACAAATGTTTTACAGACTTTTTACTCATTGAAGGAGGATAAAATAAGGTGTTCTAATGTTGAAAGAATTATGGAAAGAAATTAGCCAGTTGATGGGTTACTGGGCTATCAAAATACTTATTGCATTAGGACATTTATGCACTTCCCTATTTACTGTATAGAGTTATAACAAGACACTTTATTTAAATAAAATGTACAGTATTTCGTCTTTGAAGGTGCTTATCTCCCTGTGAACTTTCTCCTGAAAAACTCTCAAAGCATAACAACAATTTCGTTTAATCAAAATGATACAGAATGACGTAAGACAGACTGATTTTAATTCACAAAATCTTAAATTATCTAGGTGAAAGGTCGATCATTTCTTTTTTTTCTGAGATAGTGGAAATGCCACATTTATCTTCAATGCAGATTAATGAATAATTTTGTCCTCAAGATAAAAATGGTCCTTAGTTCTGTTTTTTAATCTTCTAGTAAGTCTTCATCCAAATTTATATCCTTAGGGAAAAAAGAATTTTTTAATTGTTAAAAAAAATCATATTAAGCATTCCTCACTTTTTTCACCTTTGCCTGGTTACTTGAGTTATCCATATCATAAAAAAGCTATCTTATAATAATAGACTGGTTTTTTTTCAAACATGATGCATATGTATATTGTAATAGCCTATTTACATTGCTTTATTTTTTGAAATGGTTCAGGTTTAAAAAGCCTTACTTTATATTAAAAACCAAGAACCTGAAACACTTCAGATTCTGATTTAAAATTAGTAAATCTCAAAGGTTAACTGTAAACCAACAACTTTTATTCGCGACGACTTTATTTCGCGATTTACCAGGGGAAAACTAGTTCACGACGATTACTTTTCGCGATCAAGCCGATTTTGGATCTGTTATTAATGTACACAGTGACTTAAAAGTCCGATTCACGGTGAGAAATATTCGCGATGATAAGGCTCTCGCGAAACTCGCGAAAATTTCTCGCACGCGAATAAAAGTTGGTTTACAGTATATGTAGACACCTAATAAGATGTTTAATCTTTGACTGGCATTGTGTTTTTATGAGATAACAGTATCAAAATAACTGATTTCTATTCTACAAGATACATGTCAATTTGTTGCGTGAACCTTGAGGTCCACGCAGTAAATATATAAGCGAGGTTAAACCAGATGCCATGGGCAAACGACAGGCTAAGCATGCGCAAGAATGCTAGAGAGTTCGTCTATTAGGCCATTTGCCCGTAGAATAATTCGCCAGCCCCTATTCGAATAAGAATATGCCATTCCTTGGTAAATCGCTCTTTTAAATCCGCATATCGTATTTATATATTCATTGGCGGATCTGAATTTCTCTCTTATACATATACGTTTATATAAAAACTAAACATTGATTCTATGGCACAAGCATTTAAAGAAGTAGGACGAACTTGCAGTATATAGATACATCTTACTTAACGAGGCTTGGGGGTGGCAGCCATTTTCAGACTATTTCTATCTCCTTTAAAAGAAGAGCTCCATATAAAGATATAGAAAATGATCAAATTTTAAAAATAAATTTTTATAAATATTTCTTTGCCAAATGATTGTTGACAGCTTAAGATATCATATCTAAAAAAAATAAGTTAAATCTGGTGGTTATTTTTTGATTAATTTGTTGACCCGCCAGCCTCCTTAACAACTTAAATAAAAAACGTCATTCAACGACTAGTTCTGGCTTTTAAAAGATAGAACAAGTTGTCACCGGCATTAATAATTAGATCTGTGCATCAAGGCTCACAAAATAATTTGATATTTCAGCAATCCAAATACCGTTTGATAGAGGTTTTAAATATGAGGGAGGAAGGGGGGCTCCGAAAACAAAATCTGCGTACTACAGAGCTGTGCTTTACATGTACCATCAGGCTCAGCCTGATGGTACATGTAAAGCACAGCTTTGTAGTACGCGCCGCTCCGAGGTTATAAAACTTTTACCGTACTCATACTCAAACTCCAACTCCAAACTCCGAGTACCCAGATAGGATGACTCCGTTGGGCCAACGTTGGTTTTTGGTTGTATGGTTGGTAGAGTGTTGGCGTTGGGGAACAGATGTAGGCCCAACGTTGGTCCAACGTTCAATTACGTTGGCATGAAAGCTAAACCAACGGTGTTGGGCATGTGATGTTGGCCCAACGTTGGTCCAACGTTCATTATCGTTGGCATGAAAGCTAAACCAACGGTGTTGGGCATGTGATGTTGGCCCAGTATTGGCCCATTGTAGTAACATGTTGACAAGAACTATAGCGACTTGGTGTTGGACATTAAGATGTTGGCCCAACATAGGTCCAACCGAGTAAGTGTTGACATGGATCAAGACCATTGTGTGTTGAGTAGGAAATGTTGGCCCAAGGTAGGTCTAACTGAGTACGTGTTGACACAAAACATTGCCACTTATTGTTGGTTATTCAATATTGGCCCAACGTTGGCCCAGCTTAGTAAATGTTGACAATATAATGATTCATTGCTCTGTGTTGGGCGTGCTGGACTGAACTGGAGTTGGTCCAATAGTAGGAATATTGGGATTACTAGTACATGTACAGGTAGCCTGTAATTTGAGATGAAATGCTGGTCCAACGTTGGCCCAATGTTGCGAAAAGTATTCGTCAATTTAGATTTATCTATTGTAAATCGATGGTAATGATATAAGCAACTCATTATGAACATGTGATCTATATTAATTTATATATTGAATTGAAAATATGAGACAATCCTTATAAGTCTGTGAATTATATATAGTAATTTTGTATCTTGGTAGATTCTTTATTTAGCATCATTGAATCAAATTTAAAGTGCTGTGTTTTGCATGTTTTGGGCTCCAAAATAAATAGGTCACTGGTGAAATTCACTGGCTCGGCAGGTGACTCATAGGTCTTCAAGGAAACCGTCATCTTAATCAGTTTTTTTAACCGCACACTTGAACAATGCAAAGCGTATGTGTCTGTTTAAGTGAACGCAAGGATTTTAATCCTTTCAATGTAAGTATAGCTTTTGTTTTTGTTATTGAAATAATTATTAATGTGAAATGCACAACATTGTAATGGCCTGCATGTAGGCTTTCAAATTATTGGTACCGGGTAGCTGATTAAACAGTTGTAATTGATGACGATCGTAACTTTTATAGGAATTGGCGGGCTTGAACAAAACAGATATGTCCGGATCTGTAAGTGAACGCAAGAATGTTAACCAGTGAGATGTAAGTAACTATTTTGTATTTATATTAATAATTAATGTGAAATTCAATCTTAAGGATTGCTTTAAAAATATGTGTGATGCTGATGAACATTTGAAAATACTATTTTAATTGATGACAATCTTAACGTTTACAGGAAATGCCGGGATGGAAAAACCCTCTTCACTCTGAGACTATTGATGTGGCATTTTCTGTATATGGACGGGACTGATTTATATGTGTGGGAAAACATGGATTCTAAGAACAGATAAACAACAGAAAAGTGATAAGTGATTCAAGTATGACCTTTCAAAACTGTACAATTAGAACTTGAAGACTCTTACATCAAAGCGATATTTAGTAGTGGGCATTAAGTGATGTGGAATGTACTTGAGAAAACTTGAACTTTCTACCTCTTCCTTCTTTTAGTTACATTCCATTGAATACTTTAATGAAAGTGAAAGTGGCAAAGAATACATTGTGATACATTTTAGGAGGAAAAAATTAAGAATCTAACTGGGCCAGTAAAGCTGAAACTGTAGTGGAAGCATCCTCAGGTAGTAAACATGTAGGATGCATATTAAGTGCGCATAATTCCATTCTTGAGAAAAATACTACAAATACACCAGTAAATACTTAGAAGATATGTATACATGTAATATACATGTAGCGGCCTGATTTCCGCCCCCGATAAATATACTCCATGTACTAGGTTAAAGTTTTTGTGGACCAACAGAGAGGCAGACAGACAGAGAGACAGACAGTTGGACATGACAAAAACTATATACCCCCGAAACTTTGTTTACGAAGGCATAAAAGTGCAATTACTACCATCCTCCTTGGCCTTAGAC